GCTCATATGTGAAGGAAATTAGATTTCCTCACGAGAAGGAACCTACGGCTTTAGTTGGGAGATTTAGAAAATATTCCTAAGTTATGAAATTAGTTGCAAACTTAGGTCACGGCTAATGCCCTAGATTTGTGATTAATTGCATATTAATCACTAAAAGGGTGGTTAATTACTTAATTAAACATAATGCTTAATTACCAAAATTATTTCGGACGTAAACGGTACGTCGAAAATAGATTTCGGTAATCCCGACTGAACTTAATTAACTCCGGAAATAATAATCGATAACATTATTATATCGGAATAAACGTAATTTATACCGATTAAATATCGGGATATTACAATCCTCCCTCCTTACAAAATTTCCGTCCTCGAAAATTCAAAACATAGCTGAATACATGAACTGGGTACTTAAAATAAGGAGATATGTACATCAAAACTGAAAATCTGGAAAACGAGCGTGAATGTCAGACTCTTCCTCCCAGGTAGCTCCGTGGCGATCCCACTGAATGCGCACGAGGGGGATATCTCGCTTCCGGAGCCGACGGACCTGACGGTCTAGTACAGCTACCGGTCGCTCCTCGTACGACAAATCTTGCTGAACCTGAATATCCGTGTGAGGGATAACATGATCGGGGTCGCACACGTACTTACGCAACATCGATGCGTGAAATACATTATAAATGCCTGATAACTCGGGAGGTAGGGCTAGACGATACGCGACCTCGCCTACTCGCTCGAGAACCTCGAACGGACCAATGAAACGAGGGTGCAACTTCCCTCTCTTGCCGAATCGCACTACTCCGCGAACTGGACGCACTCTGAGAAAGGCGTGCTCGCCAACCTCAAACTGAATGTCTCGTCGATGATGATCGGCGGAAGATTTCTATCGACTCTGAGCTGTCTTGAGTCTCTGCCGGATCAGCTCGACCTGCTCTGTTGTCTCCTCGATCATCTTAGGACCGAGTACTCGCCGCTCTCCGACATCGTCCCAATAGAGAGGAGAACGACACTTGCGACCGTAAAGTGCCTCGTAAGGAGCCATCTGAATGGATGAATGATAACTGTTGTTATACGCAAACTCTTCGTACGGCAACAGCGACTCCCACTTGGCACCCCTGTCAACAACCAAGGCACGTAGCATATCCTCAAGTGTCTGAATTGTCCGCTCTGACTGACCGTCCGTCTCCGGGTGGTAGGCTGAACTGAACTCAAGCTTCGTGCCCATCGCCTCATGTAAGCTGTGCCAGAATCGGCTAACGAATTTGGGATCTCTGTCTGATACAATCGTGACGGGCACTCCGTGGAGTCGGATGATTCCACGGTATATATCTCAGCCAACTTGTCCAGAGACATCTTCATCGAAACGGGTAAGAAATGTGCTACCTTGGTCAATCTGTCGACCACGACCCAGATAGCGTCGTGATGTTCAGCCGACCTCGGCAATCCCGTAACGAAATCCATAGTAACTTTCTCCCACTTCCACCTCGGAATCGGCAGTGGTTGTAGGAGGCCAATTGGGCTTTGATGCTCGGCCTTGACTTGCTGACAGGTCAGACACCGCCTGACGAACTCGGCGACGTCCTTCTTCATGCCTCTCCACCAAAACGACCCTTTCAGGTCGTGTTACATCTTCGTGCTCCCGGGATGGGCCAAGTAAGGTGCGGTATGTGCCTCTGATAGAATCTCTTTCCGCAACGTCTCGACCTTCGGGACCACGATCCTGCCTCTGAACTCCAAGGCACCATCGGCGCCTAGCTGAAAATCCTGTACTCCTCCGGCTCGAACCTTGGCCTCCATGACACGCACAAACTCGTCAGAAGCCTGCTCTCGCCGGATCCTCTCCCTCAGTGTCGGCTGAAGCTGCATAGCACTGACACTGGCACTCGTGCTCCCCGAAACAGCTGTGGGGAGTGCATCAATCGCCTGAAGTTGCATCCGGGCGAACTCATGAATCAATGGACTCTGCTGCGTGATAACGTATGTCAAGTCTCCCGTCACCTTTCGGCTTAGGGCATCTGCGACGACGTTCGCCTTCCCCGGATGGTACTGGATAGAACAATCATAATCCTTGACCAATTCGAGCCATCGGCGCTGCCTCATATTAAGCTCCTTCTGCGTGAAGATGTACTGTAGGCTCTTATGGTCAGTGAATATCTCGCAGCGTCCGTCGTAAAGATAATGACGCCAGATCTTCAGGGCGTGAACGACTGCTGCTAACTCCAAGTCGTGCGTAGGATAGTTCTGCTCATGAGGTTTAAGCTGGCGTGAAGCATATGCAACGACTTGTCCGTCCTGCATCAGGACACATCCCAAGCCCTGTCTCGAAGCATCGCTAAAGATAGTGAAACTCCGAGAAGGATCAGGGATAGTCAACACCGGTGCTGTAGTCAATCTCCTCTTGAGCTCCTGAAAGCTCGCCTCGCATCTGCTAGTCCATTCGAACTTCACAGACTTCCTCGTCAGCTGGGAAAGAGGGAGGGCAATCTTGGAGAAGCCCTCGATGAACCTGCGATAGTAACCAGCTAATCCGAGAAAACTGCGAACCTCGGACGGATTCCTCGGTGTCGACCAGTTCTGCACGGCTGAAACCTTAGAAGGATCCACCTCGATGCCTGCCTGGGTAATAACATGACCCAGAAAAGATGCTCGCTGAAGCCAGAACTCGCATTTGGAGAATTTGGCGTACAACTTCTCTCGTCTGAGGGTTTCAAGAACCACCCTCAGATGCTCCTCATGCTCCTTCTGACTCTTCGAGTAGATAAGGATATCGTCAATAAAGACAATAACGAACTGATCGAGGTATGGATGAAAGATACGGTTCATGAGATCCATGAATACTGCTGGCGCATTGCTGAGACCGAAAGGCATGACCACAAACTCGTAATGGCCGTAACGCATCCTGAAAGCGGTCTTAGCGATGTCTGACTCCTTAATCTTCAGCTGATGGTAGCCTGATCGTAAATCGATCTTCGAAAATACACAGGCTCCCCTCAACTGATCAAATAAGTCGTCGATCCTGGGAAGCGGATACTTATTCTTAATCGTCAACCGGTTGAGATCCCGGTAGTGGATACACATTCTCATAGATCCGTCCTTCTTCTTAACAAAGAAAACGGGTGCTCCTCACGGTGACACACTCGGTCGGATGAAACCGAGTCGTAACAGCTCCTGAATCTGAGTCTTAAGCTCCTGTAGCTCCTTAGGCGCCATGCGATATGGGGCTTTAGATACTGGA